TTTTTTTTTTTTTTTTTTTTTTTTTTTTTACCATGATAGTCTTTTCACTTTTGGGTTGAAGTCTAAAGGATACTGTTCCTCACTTTATGTCTGTGTTTGAGGAGACCTTTCCCAGCCCTTGTCTGAACCTGTGTCTGCAGCCACACTGTGGGTCATGTCCATATCTGTACCTCCTTGCCTACCTGCCCAGCGTCTTCACAGCATCCATTCACCTGAGGTTGGTCAAGCCTGGTGCTGTACCACACCGAGCGTTGGGCACTGGGGCCAGAGAGGTGTGTGGCAGCCTGAAACACAGGGCGTGGTGACCCTCCTTCTCGCATCTAAGCTGTGTGGTTTTGGGCACTGCAGGCCGCAGCCTCTCGGAACCTGTGAATCAATCATCTCATCCATTTCTCGCACTCTGTCTCTTAAGAGCTGTCAGTCTGGGGACCTCCGGCCTTCCTGAGCTTCTCTGTTGCTCATGGGCTGGCAGGGGCCTCTGAGAAGGGGTGTCTCTGGCCTCCATGGCCCAGCCATGTGGTGCCCTCCCCTCCTCAGCCCACTCCTGCCTTATGCCTGCAGGCTGCTTCGAGGAGACACCGTGGTGGAGCTGGGCCTCAACGATTACCTAGACATTGTCTGCCCCCACTACGAAGGCCCAGGACCCCCTGAGGGCCCTGAGACATTTGCTTTATACATGGTGGACAGGCCAGGCTATGAGGCCTGCCAGGCAGAGGGGCCCCGGGCCTACAAGCGCTGGGTATGCTCCCTGCCCTTCGGCCACGTCCAATTCTCAGAGAAGATTCAACGCTTCACACCCTTCTCCCTGGGCTTTGAGTTCTTGCCTGGAGAGACTTACTACTACATCTGTGAGTGGCCAAGGGCATGCTGGACACCTGGGAAGGGTGGGGAGGGGAAGGAGAGGCGTGGGAAGAGGAGGGGGCTGGTCTCTAATGGACATGGAGGGCGGGCTGAACTCAGGACTGAGGAGGGAAATGTCTAGAGAGGAGAAAGGAGGAGTGAGGAAAGGGGCCAGGGAGGTGAGAGGCCTGGATGGGGCCTGATACATGGGTGTGGCCCCAAAGTAAGGAAATGCTTTCCAGGGACCTGGAGGGAAGAAAAGCTGGGAGGGTCTGAAACAGTCTAAGCCATACGAAGGGGTGACTCCCTTGCTAACTTCTTCCCAATTTCCCACTACCCAGCGGTGCCCACTCCAGAGAGTTCTGGCCAGTGCTTGAGGCTCCAGGTGTCTGTCTGCTGCAAGGAGAGGAGTAAGTGGGTTAGGGCATGGACCCTACTGGCTAATTTGGGGCCCTGGGAAGGAGGGAAGGAGCGAGAAGAATCTGGGAGCATCAGACCGCAAGGGTACTGGAGAAGCTTCAAGCTGTGACCTCTTCTCCCCAGTTAGCCTTGTGGGAGCTTCCACTGCACCACTGTCCCCCGACTTTTTTTTTTTAAGAGACAGAGTCACTGGGCATAGTGGCTCATGCCTGTAATCCCAGCACTTTGGGAGGCCAAGACAGGTGGATCACCTGAGGTGAGGAGTTCGAGACCAACCTGACTAGCATGGTGAAACCCTGTCTCTACTAAAAATACAAAAAATTAGCCGGAAGTGGTGGCACATGCCTGTAATTCCAGCTACTTGGGAGGCTGAGGCAGGAGAATTGCTTGAACCTGGGAGGGGTTACAGTGAGCCAAGATCACGCCATTGCACTCCAGCCTGGGCAACAAGAGTGAAACTCCTCAAAAAAAAGAAAAGAGACAAGGCCTTGCTGTATTGCCCAGGCTGGAGTGCAGTGGCAGGATCATAGCTCACTGCAGCCTCAAACTCCTGGGGTCAAGTGATCCTCCTACCTCAGCTTCTCCAGTAGCTGGGATTACAGGCTTATGCCACCACGACTCGCTAAATTATTTTTTATTTTTTGTAAAGATGGGATATCACTGTGTTGTCCAGGCTGGTCTCGAACTCCTGACCTCAAGAGAGTCTCCTGCCTCCCAAAGCATTGGGATTACAGGCGTGAGCCACCATGTCTTGTGCAGCCTCACTGTACAATACTTTTTTTTCTTTTGATACAGTCTCACTCTTGCTCTGTCGTCCAGGCTGGAGGGCAGTGGTGTGATCTCAGCTCACTGCAACCTCACCCTCCTGGATTCAATCAGTTCTCCCGCCTCATTCTCCCAAGTAGCTGGGACTACAGGTGTGCGCCACCCAGCTAATTTTGTTTTTTCTTTTTAGTAGAGGCGGGGTTTCACCATGTTGGCTAGGCTGGTCTTGAACTCCTGGCCTCAAGTGATCCACTCGCCTTAGCCTCCCAAAGTGTTGGACTTACAGGTGTCAGCCATTGCACCCAAGCTACTGTACACTTTTTTAAGGTGGGCCAAGAGAACAGAGTGTCCGGGGCAAGGCCCTTCAAGGCCTTAGCTGGGTTGGTTGTCTCTAGTGCCAATTTGGGGAAGGTTTGGAAGTTGGGGCTTAGAAAGGATGAGGTCATAGATCATGGGAAGGGAGTGGCTGGTTTGGGAGACCCTGGAGGACGGGAAAGGAGGGAACTGCTAATGGGAAGGACGGGAAGGGGGCCACGGAAGTGGGAAGACTGATCAGTGCTACCGCCTCCCCCTCACAGAGTCTGAGTCAGCCCATCCTGTTGGGAGCCCTGGAGAGAGCGGCACATCAGGGTGGCAAGGTGGGGACACTCCCAGCCCCCTTTGTCTCTTGCTATTGCTGCTGCTCCTGATTCTTCGTCTGCTTCGAATTCTGTGAGCCAAGCAGAACTTCCCTCTCACCCCAAAGAGCCAGAGCCCTCCCAGGACCCCCTGGAGGAGGAGAGATCCCTGCCGCCTGCACTGGGGGTACCAATCCACACCAACAAGACGGAGCATTGATGGGGGAGATCAGAGGGTCTGAGGTGACCGTTGCAGGTGCCTGTCCCCTCATCATAGACTAAAGAAGAACTGCAGGCAGCCCTGGACACCCTGAAGCACAAGAAAGACAAACAGAGGTGTTTTGCAGGCTGTTCTGAGGGACTCAACCTATCCCCCAGGAGGACTGGGATTTGGTACGATCAGATCAAGCCAGCTGAGGGCCAAGGCTGAAGACCTGGGGACAGGTGGATTGCTGGACCAGGGCAAAGAAGCAGCCCTGCTGTCTGTGCTCTGTGGACCTCTTCCCTGGGGCAGCACCTTGCTCCCCCCAGGGGGTCACTTCTTGTCTTCTATGAAGACGGACTCTTCATGAGGTTGAATTTCATGCCAGTTTGTATTTTTATAAGTATCCAGACCAAACCTTCAATAAACCACCCATCTTTCTGTTGCCCTCCTCAACCTACTGCCCTCAGGCCCCTTCTCTAATAGCAGGACTCCCTGTGGCCTGTGCTCTCAGCTTAGCTTGGCCTGACCTCCATGCCAGCTGTGCTCAGTCCATCCATGCCAGGCCTCAGTGGGCACCCCTCTGGGCAATGTGGGGTAGGTGCCAGTGGCAGCTGTGGAGCTTGGCACCCTCTCTTACCTCCCCAGCCGGCTTCCTGTGCTGAGGAGGGGCAGATGCTCCTGACAGCCCATCCGCTTGGGGCCCTGCCCAAGTCCTGGTAGCACCAAGCAGGGTGCCCAGCAAAAGTAAGGCCTAGTATTAATAGAAAGACAGCATCTGGGTTTCAGAATGCCTGGGTCCCTGAGAGCTGGTCATCCCTCTCCCTCCCCAAGGGCCCTCTGGGCGGTGCCTGGCCTAGAACTGGGAAGGTGGGGTCAGATCAAAGCCTCCTTCCCCAGCGGCCTCTTTGTTCTTAGCTTTTATAAGGAGGAGGAGGTGGGGCTGAGGAGGGAGGGCCCCCTCTGCTCTCAGCCCACACCGTCTCTTCTACCTCTGGCAGGCGAGGCTGTGATCCCCACAAGGCCAAGTGGGGCCCTCTTTCTGAATGGTGCCTGGGTAAGGGGCGCCCCTTCCCCTGCAGCTGTGCTTTACCCGCCCCGGTGCCCCGCAGCCTCCACTGGCACGGTGCCGGCCTGCCTGGCACCGAGCCAGCGATCGATAGGTGGCTGTTGTGCTGATTAGCTCGGCCCGGCTGCGGCAGCTAGAGGCAGCGTGTGAACACGGTTAGGCGGGTGCAGGGGAGATGAGGAGGGGGGCGGAGGGGGGCGGAGGGAGGGCTCTAGGGGTCCAGAGACCGACACAGAGGTGCTAGAGTTTTCGAGCTCTTCCCCCACCCTCCTGCACACCTAGGTCAGATCCCGGTCTCTCGGAGGGGGCGGGTGCCCTGTCCCCTGCCACCACGCGGCGATTTCGGCTGTCATCATTCATGTTAATTCCATTGCTCTGGCTGAGGCCTTGGGCAGCACCGCGGGCAGAGCAGACCCCAGTCAGTCCCTTCCCCCATTCGAGGCCACCTTTCAGAAAATGCCTCTTGTAGGTAGGTGCGTGTATCAGGACCTTCACCCCAAACCTTGGTCTTTAGCGGGGGTGAGGCTCTGGGGCGCAGAGGAGAGGGTGGCGTCGGCTGGAGAAGCTATGGGCTCGGTCTTCAGGTCCTGGGTTCAAGTTCCATCTTTACCGTCAACCAGGAGGGTGTCTATACGTTGCCGTGGAAACCGACTTACTGCTACCTCCGCCCCTCCCAAGTGAAGCCATAGGCGGAGTAGACTGGGAGCGACTGGTTAGCAGCCCTTGCCCTGAATTGAGAACTGTGGGGGTCTCACCCAGCTCCCAACGGCCCCAGGCCACCCCCGCTCTTCGCTGAACAAGGCGGGCGCGCTCGCTCCCGCGGCTGGGGCTGGCGCGCGGATCCGCTGCTGATAAGAACGCATGTGCGAAACAGACGCGGGGCCCTGTCGCCTTTCCCGCACTCAGACGCACGCCCTCACTGTCGGGCCCTTCCACTTAACACAGACACACGCCCCTGCCGGCCGCCCGGCCCCTTGCAGGTGCAAGGGCGGATGCCTCTGCGACCCAGGGAGCGGGGCTGGGGAGGTGGGGCGCGGGGCGGGGGTTTGTAAACTTAGGACCGCCCAGCCACAGGCGCTCAGGCCAAGCCGGCCTTCCCTACACTCACTTTCCTCATAGCCTGCCCGGGCGGCTGATTCAGTCCCGGGGCGCGTCCCCAAGGAAAGCCAGGGCCAAGTCCACTCATAGGGCCGAGACCGGCTGCAGGTGCTGGGAGGTCTTCCGTGCGCAGGGCCTACCCACGAGAAGTCCTCGAGGCGCGTTCCAGGGTGCGGTTCCAGGAGGCTGGGCACACCTGCAAGTTTTGGGGCGTCACCGATCTCCCCTAAACTCAGTAGCGTTAGGTGGCTCAGGGTGGGGCCCTCAATTTACTGGGCCTGCCCTAGTCTCTCCCGAATAGATGCGAAAATTCCACTCCTCTTTACCTCGCCCAATCTCCCTGTTTGAAAGCCTGAGAGTCTCAGCGACCGGGAATCCTGCTCCACACTTTCTGGGGTTGCAAATCTTCCTTTTCTTCTCCAGATTCAACCCTGAAATTTTGTTCTTTTTCTGTCACCTCCCCTTTTTCTTCTTCCCTTTTGTTAGTTCCTTCTTTCTTTATTTTTCATTCATTCAGCACATCGTGAGCTTCTAGCGCGACTTTCTTTCAGTAGGCCAGTCGCTAGTTGTGGTCGTCGGGGGATCCCCAGCGGTGACGCAATTGAAAAGGGTGCACTCTGGCTTCTAAATAGCCAATAGAATCCCGGGGCCTGGGGCATGAGGTCATCAGCGGTGATGCCCATTGGTTCAGGTCTGGAAGTGAGGAGGGGGTCCCCATAGCAACCGACGGTGCGTCCGAGTGCAACCCGGAGGGTAATGTTTGCCTGAGCTGCTGTGGCAGCTTGGGTGGGTGCTTGGGATGGGATGTGGAAGCTGCGGTGGAGCTCAGCTTCCCAGGTCCTGCACCCCTAGCCCAGGCAAGCTCTTATTTCTCTTGAGATGCTTTTTCTCACTCAAAGTAATGGTCAGGACAACTTAACGCAGAAACAGTAGGAGTGGGTTGGTTATTGGCGACAGCATTGGGGTCCTGGGCGCAGAGCTGCTGCCACCAGGAATGTTAGTGCTGAGATCCTGTGTTCATCTGCATATCGTCTGCATCTCATTTGCATTCTCTTCATTTAAGGTCAAAGTGGGCAGACATCTCCACATCCCCAGCCCTGTCGCTTGTCTGTTTCTGGAATGTATCCCTGAGTGGCTCTGTAATCTGTCCCTCAGTTCCCCACCTTCATACCCCACGTCTCCTCCCACTCTCCAGTGTCTGCTGGGGACAGGATGGGGGCAAAGCCAGCTACAGGAGAAAGGATAAGGAGTTTGTTCTCCCTCTGGATGTTTGGTGACAGATGGGGAGTGCTGGTCCGTACTGCCTGGAGACTAAATTGGCAAAGCCAGTGGTGGGGGAGGTGCCCCGGCTGGGTGGAGGGTCTCCAGGGCCAAATCACCCACATGCCTGGCAGGGTGCTGGAACTAGGGATGCCTGGTTCCAGCAAGGGGCAGGCCCGCCCACCTGTCTGGTGCCAAGGCAGCTTCCTTCCTCCAATTAAACACTAATGAGGTGTCATTAACCCTTACCTCGCCTGCCAGCCCTCAGGTGGAACTCAAATTCATGGTCTCACACTGAGGGAAGGGGAGGAAAGCAGGACTTCTTGGGAGCTGAGTGGTGGTGAGGGGACCAAGAGAAAGGAAGCCAGGGTCAGAGGCCTGAGCAGCGTTCACGGTTATCCTCGGTGGGCTTCTGGAGTCTAGAAATGTTGTCCCACTGGGAGAATGCTTGTATTCCTTTGTTCCTTGATTCAACAATTACTAAGCACCTCACCTACTCCTACTAAGTAAATACTGGGCTGCATACTAGATGCTGGGGATACACACTTGCATAAGACAAGATCCTTTCCCTTAAGGGATCTTCAGATTGCCCGAGGAGAGAGACTGGCCAGTGAATAATTACAATGCAAAGTGAAAATGCTAATACAGAGCTATATATGAAGTGTTATGGGAACACAGGGAAAATGGGTCGTCAGAGAAGGCTTTGATTTTGAAGGACAAAGTTTATAGCAGAGAGGGATGTATAGAAGTCATGCTGTCTGTAGGCTTGACAGTGTGAGGCTGTGTCTGGATGTGTTTTCAGGACTGCTGGTGTCCGCCCTCCCAGAGCTGCATGTTTGGCATCGTATATATGTGTGTGAGTGTGTGTGTGTTGTGTCTGGAATCCCTTCTCCTGAAACACATTGTGGTTTTATTACAGATCAATGTTTGCTGTGAAGCTCTTGAGCAGATTGGCCTGAACCTGCCCAGCCCAGGGGAGGGGAAGTGGAGAACTGATGTTGGCTTCTTGGGAAAGGGTAGGCAGGCACCATCTTCACACCTGGGCCCCAGACCCCTGGCTGCCCAAGTGGCAGCAGGCTGAACAAGGAAGGCAAAGTGTTGGGCCCCAGACTTTGGTAGGGTGTGTCCAGGCCGCAGTCCCCTCTGTCCCTAACTCCTCAGAGGAGACACAGAGACACGGGGGTTACTGCTATCCCTCCCCACCAAGATCTCAGGCCCCCTCCCCCAACCTGTTCCTCTTCTGTCTGTGGAGGAGCAGGCCGGCTCAGACCTGTTCGCTGGCTCTCCCACAGGGATCGGATCCTTTCCAGGGGACACAGAGGGCTGGGGAATGCTGGAGCTTCCTGGGCGGCCGCCAGATACTCCACCCTGGCCCTCCGAGGCTCCCTCCATCCTGGATTCTCCCCACCCACTCTAGGGTGCCACTCTTCGCGTTTTTGCCCAGACACAAACATCTTTGCCAAGGAAGCCTTCAATCACTAGGCAGAGGGTGGGGGCCAGAGCTCTGGCAGGGAAGACTTGTTGTGGGGGACTGGTTGTGAGCTACTCAGAGACCTCTGCTCCAGTCTCTCTTCCTCCTCGCAGTCACTTTCTTCCTTCCTTTCTTCCTTCCTTTTTTTTTTTCTTTCTTTTTCAAGAGGCAGGGTTTCACTCTGTTGCTCAGGCTGAAGGGCAATGGTGTGATCATAGTTCACTGCAGCCTTGGACTTCTGGGCTCAAGTCATCCTCCCGCCCCAGCCTCCCAAAGTGCTAGGATTGATTGCAAGTGCGAGCCACTGCGTGGGCATGGCAGCCACTTTCTAGAAAATGAAACTTTGGCGAAAGTCTGGATCTAGGAAGACTTTTAGGGTTTAAGGAGAATCTCTGGAGTCTGAGGAGGTCAAGGACCCTATTTTCCACACCGTCAAGGATGGTGAGCTTTTTTTTGACTGTAACCTCATTTCATCTAATCTTTTCCTACCCCTGCCACACTTTCCAAGCCCTAGGTCACATCTCTCACTGTGATAGCCGTTAGGAAAGCTTGGAAATGAGGGAGGACAAATGGGAAAGAGAGTCTGGGCTGGTCTAGGTGGGCAGACCTCAGGAGATAACCTCTTCATTTTGCTGTTGTTGTTGTTTGAGACGGAGCCTTGCTCTGTCGCCAGGCTGGAGTGCAGTAGCGCAATTTCGGCTCACTGCAACCTCTGCCTCCTGGGTTCAAGTGATTCTTCCACCTCAGCCTCCCGAGTAGCTGGGACCACAGGCATGCTCCACCACGCCCGGCTGATTTTTGTATTTTTAGTAGAGACAGGGTTTCACCACGTTGGCCAGGATGGTCTCGATCTCAACCTTGGGATCCACCCGCCTTGGCCTCCCAAAGTGCTGGGATTACAGGCTTGAGCCACCGCGCCTGGCAATAACCTCTTCATTATAAGAAACCCTCCATGAGTCCAGTGCCTCTTGGATCCTAAACATGTGCTAAGTGCTTCCCAGACATTATGTATCTTTTTTTTTTTTTGAGACGGAGTTTCGCTCTTGTTACCCAGGCTGGAGTGCAATGGCGCGATCTCGGCTCACCGCAACCTCTGCCTCCTGGGTTCAGGCAATTCTCCTGCCTCAACCTCCTGAGTCGCTGGGATTACAGGCACGCGCCACCATGCCCAGCTAATTTTTTGTATTTTTAGTAGAGACGGGGTTTCACCATGTTGACCAGGATGGTCTCGATCTCTTGACCTCGTGATCCACCCGCCTCGGCCTCCCACAGTGCTGAGATTACAGGCTCGAGCCACCTCGCCCGGCCGACATTATGTATCTTAATCCTCATAAGGACCAGCTTCCTGAGGTGGGGCATTATTTTACAGACGAGGAAGCAGTCTCAGAGAAGTTAAGTGGCTAGCATAGCTAGTGAGTGGTAGAACTGGAATTCGAATCCAAGCCCAGGCGGTTCACTGCTGGGCCAATATCACCTTCCTCTCATCTTTTCTGGAAATACATTCAGAGGACTCACACACACCTCTACGTAACACCCCAGAGCTGCCTCCCTTCTCCAGGCTTCTTGGCTTGCTGGTCTCATCAGAGGGATCAGGACAGGACTAGAATCAGAGGTGATTACACCCCGACGCCACCCACCAAGCCCTGCATGCTAATTTCCTGTGAGCTGGACCACACAGCAGCACACCATGTTCCTGCTGTCAGTCATGGATGTGGTTCCATGTGAACTCGAGGATGTCAGAGCACCCGCGGAGCCATGCTGACACACACGCTTGGAAGCCAGAAGACATGTGCATCACCCTCCTGTGGCATCCAGGTTTCCCTGCTAGGACTGCACCAACAGCCTGCCTGGGCTGGGGGCACACACGGGCCCCGTGTGAGGTGCAGAACTGTGAATATTTCCTGCCTGGAGCTGGCAGCTGCCTCTCGCTCACATGTGTGCCTGATCTTGCCTCTCACAGGCTCCTTGTTTATTTGTTTAATGAATTATTTATCCACGGACCCTGCTTCCCTCCTGACCTCCCCTTCCCCAGGCCCTAGCCTCCATGATTTACTGAACACAGCTCAGCTCTGTGGTGCCACACACTGTCCCAGGAGCTGCCTTGGGCCACACAGCCTGAGAACTCCCTCTGCCCCACACCTGCGCCTCTCCCTGTTTCCTTGGCCTCTGAGGGATGGAGGAGAGTGAGGCACCATGTTAGAGTCCTCCCAGGAGCTGAGCTCAGTGCCCCTGGAGAGACTGTGGCAGCCAGCAGTGAACTCGCAAGCCCAAGGGTCAGAGCCTGTGGGTGAGGAGGAGGAGGCCTGAAGCCCTGAAAACAGGGCCAGCCCCATGGAGGGAGCCCCAGCCTCCACAGAGGCCCTCATCCTATCAGGCCTTAGACACCAGTTTTTCACACTATAGATTGTGATCCATTGGGGATGAAGTCAATAAGTCAATTTTATGGGCCTCAACCAGCTTTTTATTTTATTGTTTTTACTTTTAAGACTAGAACAGAGGAAAATATTAGAGTGCATACTCTGTAGTAAGGGTACGTATTGTTTCATGAAACATATTCAGTTGTATGTGTGTGTATATGAGTGTGTGTGTGTGTATGAGTGTGTGTGTGTTACCGAATTGCAATGCAAAATACATTCCTACTGTGGTGGATCACAGGAACAACTTGAGTTACAGTTATACACAAATGTCTAGACCCCATCAATAGAGGCCTGGGTCCTTCCGTGACTCACATGCCACAGAGAGAGGCCTAAGCCTTTAGATTAGGCCCCAGGCATGTGGACAGTGGCTCAGATCTTACACACAGGGGCTCAGTCCCTAGAGAAGCCCAGACCTTATGAATAGAGGCCTATAGGCAGGCATAGGCATTATAACTAGAAGCACGTGTCCTGTAGACAGAATTGCCATATATAGCTGTACAGTTTGTGCATGGCACAAAGGGGAAGGGGACATCAGCCCAAGCTCCCTCACTAAGACAGGGAGCCACACAGAGCCACCTCTCACTGAAGGAAGCAGCACCTTTGTTTTGCACAAAGCCACCACTTGCCAAGAGAGGCACCCTAGGGACTGAGCCTGCAAAGAAGGGTACTTTTTCTAATTCACACAAAGGCCCAAATCAGCTAGCAGCCCTATGGATAGAGCCCCAGGTGGACAAAGCAGTAGATCCCATGGATACAGGCCTAGGCCCTACAGAGAGTATCTCAACTTCAAAACCAGAGGCCTCGACCCCATAGAGAGAGCTGCTGAAATCCTGTGGAGAGGGCTCCAGATTCTGAGAAGGGCTCAGTTATTATTGGAGGGTGGGTGTGGGGGTGCTAGATTCTAAGTACCCAGGCCTTATAGAAAAAGGCCCAAATCCTTAAGCAAAACCTTGATTCTCTCAACAGGGATATGTGTTTTCTAAAATGGAATTTAAAGTCCTAGACCAAACCAGCAAGCTCCCATTCACTATGAATACGGGCAACATCTCTGCCAACTGTGGGCCCTACAGAGAGAAGCTGACCTTGTGGGGCAAGGAATGTGATTTGAGAGGAGGGGCTGGGATTTGTGGCACCTGGAGTAAGCAGGTTAGCATCATTTGGGTGAAACAAATCTCTCTGGAGATGAGGAGCCTGCGGGGAGGGAGAGCTGTTTGCAAAGTCCCCCACTCCCATCCCAAGGGGCCTAATTTATTTTCTGGCTCCTGAGAAGGAAGAAATCTCCTGGGGTGGAGAGGAGCCCAGAGAGGACAGAACCTACTCTCGCCTGGCAGCAGTCAGACACAGATGGCACCACCCCTGCCCCCAGCCTAGCACCTGAAGATGACTTGTGGCCAAGACCCTGTCCTGCCACAGATAAGCAGATGAGGGGCGCCTGCATGTTCCCTCTCCCACAGGACAGAAGCAAAGTAGCGGCATGCCTATCTCCCTGGACACAGGTGGTTGGCTTGGGTTCTGAGAACCCAGTTAGGCCTGGTTCTGCCTGATCTGGGACTCTCCAAAAGAGACGAGTTAAGGGGTGGATAGCCTTAGGTCTGGTTTCTGAATCCTTTTCCTGAACTTCTACTTCCTAGGAAGCGAGAAGAGAGCATGAAACTGTGTGTATTGGGATGCATGCGGGTTTACGTGTGTCACGTGTGGATGTGCAGAGGTGTGTGCTCCTGTGTCTCTGTGCCTGGGTTTCTCCTGATCTCTAGCAGTCTGATAGTGTCTTTTCCTGGATGCGTCTGCAAGGCATAGCTGTGTGTCCGTATGTCTATGTCAGGTGCTTCTGTCTCTACATTCTCTGCCTTTGGGTGACTGCACCGCTTTTCCTGAATGTGTGTGTGTGATGTGTGTGCTTGGGTGTCACTGTGAGGACAGTGACTGTGGTGAGAGCTGGAACACAAGGTGCTCTGCCCTCTGCCTCAGGATCCACATCTCTGAGAGTAGGAGTGAGAATGCCTGGGGACACCCCTGGCTGCCTCGGGAGAGGCCCTGCCTAAGTGCCTCCTTTGTAGGTGTCCAGGGAAGCCTGCTTTGCCCCAGCTGACTCTCTCCTTGGCCCCCTCCTTCGCCTTGGGCTCTGGACCGCTGAAGGCCCTTACATCACCCAGTATTGCCATTCTGGGGGCTGAGCTCTTTCACTCCTCCAAGAAAAGCAAGCCTCATGCTCAGCTGGGGGGCTTCAGGTCACCAGCTGTCAGGGCCTTGGTGCCAGCTGAGGACTCTCCACCACCCTTCTGTGCCCACCTGGGTCCTCATGTACAGGAGAAAAGGGGCATGGACGCAGCGAGGGCCACAGTGTTCAGAAGGGAAGGGGGTCCAGCCCTACTTACTAAGAGGTCCTGGACCCCCCAACTTCTTGTCAAGTCTGCTCCTTCACCACCACCACCAACCTTCCCTCGCCCCGCTTCCGAGAGATGAAAGGGTTTCCCTGACATCGAGATCCTCATCTTGGGTTCCCAAATCTTTCTGGGAAATCCAGCCTAGGGAGCAAAAGGCCGAGGACCAGTTGTAGCAAACTGAACCCAAAAGGGAGAGACGAGGCACGCGCCGGTCTTTCCCAAGGGGGCAACACGGGCCCCACCTCCCACGCATCGCGCGCTCCCGGCCGGAGCGGGACTGGGCCTGTCGGGGGCGCGCCAGGGGCGGGGCTTTCGGGGGCGCGCCCAGGAGGGCGGAGGGAAGTGTTGGGGGCGTGGCCTAAGGCTGGAGGCCGGCGGCGGCGGCAGCAGGGAGCTGGGAAGCGGAGAAGCCGGGAGCGCGGGGCTCAGTCGGGGGGCGGCGGCGGCGGCGGCTCCGGGGATGGCGGCGGCTCCGCTGCTGCTGCTGCTGCTGCTCGTGCCCGTGCCGCTGCTGCCGCTGCTGGCCCAAGGGCCCGGAGGGGCGCTGGGAAACCGGCATGCGGTGTACTGGAACAGCTCCAATCAGCAGTGAGTCGGGGGCCTGGGAGTCCGCGCGTCCCGTGTCAGTGGGAGGGGGAGCCGGTGGGGCCCAGAAGTCCTAGGGGAACCCAGGGTGGGAGTCCTGGGAGACCAGAGCTGGGGCCTGGGAGGTGACGGAGAGGGGGACGCACTCTGTGGGCGTCTAGGAAACTCGGGGGTGTCAGAAGGAGCTGTTGGGCTATAGTCAGGAGCGCCCGGGCCGTGCGGAGGAGGCTGCTGGAGTGGCCCCCCCACCCCATCTTGGCTTTTCTCCGCACCCGCCACTGGAATAGCATGCCCCGGTCCCACAGCTCCCCCAGCTGGGCTGGGGTTTGGGGTCAGTGGTGTGCTGGCGACAGGCCGCCGCATTTTGGGGCCCAGGGTGACCTGTTTTTGGCCATGAAGGCTTCCAGGGGTTCTGTCTAGGACACCCTCTTTTAAAAGTGGGGTCCAGAGCTGAGGTAGGGAGTCCGACCTAGCACCTCCCTAGAAGGAAGGCGATTGGGTTGTCTTGGTTGTATGGATAAGCCCAGCTGGGGTGAGCTAGGGCTGGGTCGCCGAGTTGGGGGGCCCTGGGAATGCTGCTTGGTTAGGATGGGAACGTGGGGTACCGGCAAGAGGGAAGGAGGCAGGGAGATGTCGGTGTGTCACACACGCACACACACGCCCGGGCTGGGGACGGCGAATGGCTCTAAGTGTGAGCGGGCGTGCGCGGCTGTCAGTGTGCGTGTATGTCTGAGTGTGTGATTTGTGTGTCTGCGTCGGCGATCGTCTGGGGGTGGGAGCGGGCGGCGGGTCGGGGAAGGGGCTGCGGTCGCTGTCCGGGCGGCCGGCTGCGTCTGGACTGGGGTGGCTGTTGGCGCCGCCGCGGTCTGGGCGGGTGTCAGGGCGGCCGTGTGGTTTCCCGGGGTGTGTGGCGCGGCGGCCGGGTGCTGGCTGCGGGGCCGGGTCCTCATTCTGCTCAGTCCTTGCTGCCCTTGTCTTCTCCTCCCCGCCGAGCCGCCGTGTGTATCACCCCGGCCACCTTAGTGTGTGTCTGTGTGTTGGTAGGGGGTGATCCCTGGGGACGCTGGGGTCACTGTCACACCTGCCCGGGCGGTGGCGGCAGCACTGCCTCTGGCTCCCCACCCCGGGGGCTGACCAGGGAGCAAATGGCCAGACCCCAGGGGAGGGGACCGGGAGGGCCGGGCGGCCGCGACCCCCAACCTCCCGGGGGAGGGGCTGCCGCTCGCCGCTCCGCTCTTTGTTGTTTGGGGCTCCGCGCCTCCCCCTCTCTCCCTCCTCGCGCCCGGAGTGTCAGACTGGGGGTGGGGATGAGCCAACGACGCCCCCCTCTCGCTTCCCATGGAAACCTCGGGGGTGGGGACGTGGCCCCTCCCCCCCGGAGCGGGACTTCGAGAACTCCGGGGGGCGCTGGGAGATGACACTCCAGCTCTATCTAGCTCAGCCCCCTCCCCCAGACTCACACGTCTGCCCCCCACCCCGCTAGAGTCTGGCGGGGAACGGAGAGCTCGCAGGTGAGGGGCCCTGGGTTCCCCGCCACCCTTGGGGCACCTCGGCGTTCTTAGGGGAAGCCAGAGCCGGGCGGTGGGGGGATGCGGGAATAGGTTTGGTGGGGGGAGGTGTTGATCAGGTTCCCCTCCCCCGCATACACCTGGGCGCAGGTGAAAGCTCAGGGAGCGGGTGGGGGAACCCGGGTTCCGGGAGCCTCCTTTCTGTCCTCTCTACTCCGTGCGGGCCTGGACCGGCAGAGGTAGGAGGGGGCGCACACCGGGCCAGGAGACTGCCGCCGCCCCCGCCTCGCTTCCCGGGCCTTTGTTGCCGCTGCGCCCGGGCTCCCCGGCTCCCTCACTGCGGCAGCCGCGGCCCCATAAATCGTGAGAGCGACGTGCTCCGGAGCCGAGAGTGGAGAGGGCCGGGGAGCTGGGGGCGGGGCCGACCAAGCCACAGGCTCCCGCGCCCCCTCCCCCTAGTCACGTGAGCTGGGCTCCTGGCTCCCACCTCCCGTCACGTGTGGAGGGTCTCTGCCCCTTGGGGTCACGTGGGGAGGGTCTTGCGACCCCGCCTCCTGGGGGTCACGTGGGAGGGTGCTGGTGGGACACGTGCGTCGGCCTCCTTTGACAGACCTGGGGGCAGTGCCCTGCACACCCGCCGCGACCTAGCCCTCTGCTCCCCACTCAGTCCTTCCGTTTAGTCCCCTGGAATAGGCGATACCTGTTACCAACCTGGCCCAGAAACTGGGGGTGGGGGGCTGTATTGGAGGGATGCATGAGAGTGTGAGGTCGAGGAGTCCCCCTAAGCCGGGAATTGAACTTGGTGGAGGGGGAGAGGGATGGCCGATGGCCAAATGTATGCCCCCTGGCCTGTGTTTCATTTCTTTGCAGAACTGAGCAAGGATGTTGGTATTCGCCCCTGTCTCAAGAAGCCTAGGGAACATCGTTCTATAACTGTCTCTCGACCTATCTCTGAAATGTTTCTGTTGCTGATCTCTCTTTCATTCATACATTCATTCAACAAATATTTGTTGAGGCTCTACTATGTCCCTGATGGTTTTTCTGTGTTGTCTCCCAGTCTCTGAGTCTCAACCCTGCATCCTTCCCTGTCCCTGCTTCTCTCTGCGTCTCTCTCTCATCTCTGCCGTCTGTGGGCCTCTCTGGCCTGTCTGTCCCTCCTGTTCTCCAAGACTCTCTGGGTTCTCGTTCTCTTCCCTGCCTCTCTTGGTTTCTGGCTTCTCTCGCGCGCCGTGTCTCCCTTCCTTTCACCTTTCAGTGAATCCAGCCTCTGCCAACCTCCCCTCTCGGTGTGTGTCTCCCCCTCACTCGTCTCTGTGTCTCGCTTTCGGCGGGTCTCGCGCTCCTCTCCGCCGCTGCAGATCAATAAACCTTCGCCGCCGCCGCCGCCGCTGTCGCAGGGAGGAGGGGCGGAGGTGTCGGGCGCGCTGATTCTCCCCCACCCGACGCGGCCCAGGGAAGCCCTACGCCCAGACCAGGACTAGCCAGACTGGGACGGGTGGGGCGCCGCGGCCCAGGGCGCTTGAGGGGCGCAGGGGTGTCAGCGTGCAACCGCCGCCCCGCGAGCGTTCCCGCCACCACCGCCACCACCCTCAAAGCCCGGGCGCGCGGACCCCACGCCGCGCACACGTGGTCCGGCCTCGCCTGCTGGAGCGGGCGGCGCGCAGCCTCGGGGGCGCGCGCTAGAGGGAAGAGGAACCCGGGTCTATGTTCTTCCTCTACCCCTTTAAGTCTGCAGCTCGGCGTCTAAGGCCGGGGCTGGGGGTGAGGGGTGGCGAGGATTTAACAAGTTCAGGGCCCCCTGGGATCCTTTTCCTACTCACTGGTCTTCTTAGACACTCTGTTTACCTGCCCTAATTGCTCCGGGTAGGGGGAGAAGTTTGCTCCTTCCCCGCTCCGCCCCCTCGTCCCCTCCGCGGACACTCCGGGCTAAAGGGGGGTCACTGAGAGAGAGAGAGAGAGAGAGAGAGAGAGAGAGAGAGAGAGAGAGGCGTCCGGATGCACCTCAGAGGCGGTGAGAGTCGGGAGAGACCGAAATAACGGGGTGAGGGGACACCCCCTCCAAATGGGGTGTGTCGTCATTTGCCTTTCTGCAAAAGAGGCGAGAGGCTACAGGAGATGAAGTGGAGCAAGAAGCTAGAACAGTACGAATGGGCAGGGCACAACCCGGTCCCCAGGTCCCAGCGCACCCCCACCCTTCCGCAGGAGGTGCGGCCCTGGAGGCGGGGTTAGCTGCAGAGCTTCTCAGGGGCCTAGCGGCACCTCGGTCTCCGCACTGCTAGGGAGAGGAGGGGAGGGAGGATGACAGATTCAATTAAAGCGCCCAAGCCAAGCAGACACGCTGGATCTCCAAAGAGTTGTGGTTGGGAATTCCTGGCTCCCACCCCGTTTGTCCCCGTGCCCTCTGTGTACCAACTGGGCCCAGCCACCCCACTGGCAGGTCTTTCTCTCACATGCCCAGTCTTGGGGGGCATTTCAGGGGCTGTTCCTCCCACCTAGCGCAGGAGTATGTAACAGATGGCTTCCCTTCACCTGTGGTCGCCCAACAACCTTTTTTAAAAGGCTAGCCCTGCCTTGTGGAGGAAATTGAATTACCTGTAGGAATACTTTGGGTGTTGGCTTCCTCTCTGCTGGAATGGGGTGTGTTGTCGGGGGAACTGGGTGGCACAGCAGGGAGGAGCTGCTTCAGAGTGGGACTGGAAACATGGGTGAGGCTCAAAGACAGAGGTCCCAATGTGGCTGTACAGCTGCTCCAGACCTCACACCCTCACCACTGGCGGCCGGCCCTCTCCCCAAAGCCCGAGGGGAGGAACAGACTATGGAGTTGGCGATGGACAGGCAAGTCTAGGGTGGCAGCTTGGAGCCAGGCCTGGTCTAACCCGTTTTCCTGCTCCCAGTGCCCCAGGCCGAGACTCTGCCCACCTGAGTACCAGGGCAAGGGAGGGGCCTGAATGACCCATTACTCCCATGGGAACCGAGTGGGGCTGGTGGCATTCCTGATGACCCAAGGAGGCTGTGCCAATTCTTACTGGGGTACCCAAACATCAGTTCTCTGTGCCTCACTGCCAGGATTGGAATGGGTTGCTGGTGGAGGGGACAGCACAGGCAAAGCCAAGGAAGTAGGATGTGGGGGGACGGACCCTCAAGGCCCCACCCCGTGCAGAAGCCTTCCCGCTCATTTTTTTAATGGATCTAATTACTGTACTGTTTGGGGAACTGGGTGGTGCCTGGTGACATGGGGAGCCAGTCCCTCCCCGCAGGGAGCTCCCAGGGACTAGGGACCCCATACTTTGACATTCTGCCAAGTACCCCATGCCTTTCTGTGTCCACCACACTCTACTTGCACTGCCAAGATATGTGCATTCTTACTCTAAAGAAATTAGGGAAAACCCCTGCCCCCTCTCCGAGTTTCTTTCTCCATTCAGAGATTTCTCCGTCCTCACGCAGCTCAGTACCACCATGGAAGGTGTTAAGACCAACACTTTGATGGAGACTAGCAAGGCAGGTGGGGATTACAAGGGACCCAGCATCTGCTTCTCTGTCCCAAAGAGGGATCAGGGAAATAAGAGGTGCAGCCATCTTGTCTAGGCCCTGTGCCCACTGCTCTGCCCAGCATCATTAAGGGGGGGCCATGGTGCCAGGTTGAGGAAGGAGGTGCCCAATGAGACAGAAGTTTGGGCTGGTTGGCATGATGCCACGTGGAGTCTTGGTGATGAGTCCCTTAGTTCCCTCATCTGTTGTTTCAAGTTCCTGGGAGCCTACTTGTCCTTGGCCTCAGGGTGGGGTCTCCGTCAGGGGACTCAAGGTACAGAAGCCAGTGATACTGTCGTGTGGGGAGGGCAGGGAGAGAGCCCCAGACTGGTGGGGTCAGCCAGTACTGGCATAGAGGCCAACACACATACAGCCCAGCTTTTCTATGTGTCTGCCGCCTATGAGTGGGCGGTGGACATATTTGTGTGTGTGCCATAGAACTTATGCAGGTATATGCATGAAGCCTCCATACATGCGTCTGTGAGGGCAGGTCCTGTCGGACTGGCCCCGGGGGTGGACTGGCAGCCGCAGGGAAGCATGCTGGGAGAAGCGATGGAGGGCGTGTGTGTCCCTCGGAAGGGATCCCTCCCACGTTCACCCTTGGCTTCCATCCCTTCCATCCCTCCTCCCGGCTGCTGAATTACGGGGGATGGACGGAGGAAATCCGGGCCTGGGTCTGGGAGTCGCTGGGGCCTGCGCCGTTTCTGTGGTAACCAAAGCGTGCGTTCCCTGCTTCCCTCCGCCCCTCTTCCTCGCCTCCTTTTCTTTGGAGGCAGGCAGCGCTTTCCTGCGCCTTTGCTACCCTCTGGTGGCCACCAGGCGAAGGACAGACCAAGAAGGAGGGCACGGAAGGAGAGTTCAGGGAGCGGCGGCACTAGGGCCCCGGGGACAGAGACAGGGCTGAGCCGCGAGGAAGCTTGGAGGAAAAGTCGGGAGGCCCCGCGGACCCTGGGGAGGGGCTGCGGAGCGGTCAGACGGAAAGCGGCTTGCCTTTGGGGTTTCTTCTCTCTGAGCCGCTTCCTCTTCCCCACAGCCTGCGGCGAGAGGGCTACACCGTGCAGGTGAACGTGAACGACTATCTGGATATTTACTGCCCGCACTACAACAGCTCGGGGGTGGGCCCCGGGGCGGGGCCGGGGCCCGGAGGCGGGGCGGAGCAGTACGTGCTGTACATGGTGAGCCGCAGCGGCTACCGCACCTGCAACGCCAGCCAGGGCTTCAAGCGCTGGGAGTGCAACCGGCCGCACGCCCCGCACAGCCCCATCAAGTTCTCGGAGAAGTTCCAGCGCTACAGCGCCTTCTCGCTGGGCTACGAGTTCCACGCCGGCCACGAGTACTACTACATCTGTAAGTGACGGCGGCCGGGCGGGCCAGAGCGCGAGTCTGAGTGACAGCCGGGGGGTGGAGCCCTGAGGCCCCGGGGCGGGGCCGGCGCGGCCGGCGCCAGGTCTAGGGGCTGAGAGACGGGGGAGGAGGCGTGGGCACGGGGCGCCTCAGGGGCTCAGCTCAGACGAGGTCGTGGGGCCAAGAAAGGAGTTTCGTGACAGTCCCAAGTATGGGCTACGGAGAATCGCTGTCTCTGTGAGGGACATTCTGGGGTTCGAACATCAGGGATCCCAGTTTCTTGAGGGGTGGGACCAAAGGGGCTTCTAGGGTTGACGGCGGAGCTACAGTGACCCGTGTCCAAAGGGTAGGGGAGCTCCTGAAGGAGACCTCCCGAGGGGGGCAGTTTGAAGGGAGTAAGAAATAGAGCCGCTGAGGGAGGGCACTGGGCACAAATTGGGCGAAAATGACTCAGGCCCGGTCTCCTCCCCAGCCACGCCCACCCACAACCTGCACTGGAAGTGTCTGAGGATGAAGGTGTTCGTCTGCTGCGCCTCCAGTGAGTAGAATCGGCTCCGAGCCTCCACCCCACCTTCAGCTCCCTGCTTTGGGGCTCCCCTGGCTTCCTGGGGGTGGGGGCGGAGGGCACAGGTGAGGGGGGCTTGCTCCCCAGCCGTAGCAAGGGGAGGGAATCCTGGCCCTGACTCTCCCCTCCTCTCTCCCCACTCGCACCCCACCCCGCAGCATCGCACTCCGGGGAGAAGCCGGTCCCCACTCTCCCCCAGTTCACCATGGGCCCCAATGTGAAGATCAACGTGCTGGGTGAGTCTGCGCAGCGCCCTCTGGTGGCCACTGCTGGAACCGCAGCCCCCCACCCCGGTGCCTGCTCACCTCGCATGCCTTCCCCGGGGGCACTGACCCTTCCTACCCCGTGGGTGGTCACGTCCCTGGCTCCGCTGCTGCTGCCGCTGCCGCGTGCCCCTGCCCCGGCGCGCAACCCAGCCCTCACCAGTCTCTCTGTTCCTCTGTCCACAGAAGACTTTGAGGGAGAGAACCCTCAGGTGCCCAAGCTTGAGAAGAGCATCAGCGGGACCAGCCCCAAACGGGAACAGCTGCCCCTGGCCGTGGGCATCGCCTTTTTCCTCATGACGTTCTTGGCCTCCTAGCTCTGCCCCTCCCCTGGTGGGGAAAGATGGGGCGGGGCTTGGAAGGAGCAGGGAGCCTTTGGCCTCTCCAAGGAAAGCCCAGTAGTGGGGCCTGGACCCCCCATCCCATGGCTGGAAGTGGGGCCTGCACCATACATCTGTGCCCGCCCCCTCTACCCCTTCCCCCCAGGTAGGGCACTGTAGTGGACCAGGTGCAGGGACAGCCATGGGTCCCAGGTGGCCTTGTGGCTCTGGTAATGTTTGGTACCAAACTTGGGGGCCGAAACAGGCAGTCCTCAGGACTCCCTGGCCCCTGGTACCTTTCCCTCACTCCTGGTGTCCTCTCCCTTTGTCCCCCAGAGAGACATATGCCCCCACAGAGAGCAAAGCGAAGCGTGGGAGGCACCCCCATCGCTCTCCTCCAGGGGCAGAACATGGGGAGGGGACTAGATGGGCAAGGGGCAGCACTGCCTGCTGCCTGCTTCCCCTGTTTACAGCAATAAGCACGTCCTCCTCCCCCACTCCCACTTCCAGGATTGTGGTTTGGATTGAAACCAAGTTTACAAGTAGACACCCCTGGGGGGGGGGCGGGCAGTGGACAAGGATGGCGAGGGGTGGGCATTGGGGTGCCAGGCAGGCATGTACAGACTCTATATCTCTATATATAATGTACAGACAGACAGAGTCCCTTCCCTCCTTAACCCCCGACCTTTCTTGACTTCCCCTTCCAGCTTCAGACCCCTTTCCCACCAGGCTAGGCCCCCCACACCCGGGGGACCCCCTGGCCCCTCTTTTGTCTTCTGTGAAGACAGGACCTATGCAACGCACAGACACTTTTGGAGACCGTGAAACAACAACGCCCCCTCCCTTCCAGCCCTGAGCCGGGAACCATCTCCCAGGACCTTGCCCTGCTCACCCTATGTGGTCCTACCCATCCTCCTGGGCCTTTTTCAAGTGCTTTGGCTGTGACTTTCATACTCTGCTCTTAGTCTAAAAAAATAAACTGGAGATAAAAATAACTGAGTGTGTGTGATTTCAAGGGCCATCACCCTTCCGTTAGACTGGTTAAACCCTGCAGGTCACAGGGCCTGGGTGGGAGAGGGAATACTGGGGCCAAAGAGTCACAACAAGGTGTTCAGACCATTTTCTACGGCTCATCTTCTTTACAATGGCAGCGCTGCATGGAAAGGGCAACAGGGGCCTCCAGGCTGGGCCTGGTTGACTTTGGGCAAATCACTCAACCTCTCTGAGCCTCAGGTATCCCACCAGAAAGACTGGTTACCGTATCTCTCACACAGGGAATGAAAGGCTCCATCAATTATGGTTTCCACATTTTCTTCCCCTTCCATTCTGTAATCGAGGTTCTTGACTGGAGTCTATGGATTTCAGGGGATTTGAGAACCTAGGCAGAAAAAAAAACCATCTGTATTTTCACTCACCTATAACTGAAATTTAACATCCTCTTGTGTGCTTGGGCATCGAGCCATAATTGTATTAATAGTACCTGTGACTGTAACCAGAAATCACAGATGTTTTCAGCCTGCATTATAGTTGTTGAAGAGATCTCAAAATATCATTTACACTCATCAGTTCCTTGAAATGATCATAGTTGTTAGACCTTCCTCATTTTTGATGTGTTAATAAGAAAGTGTATATATACTATATCAAGAAATGTAAATGTTTTGATAATATAATTAGCTTCCTTTATAACCCTTTGCAATTTTATTCATGTCAAACGTTACGCCTAAAGGGTTGGGAGTTTGCTGGGGCTGGGGCTGCTCATAACTACACCACCCTGCATGGCTCAGGAAGGCAGAGGGGACAGGAGGCAAAAGACAGGAGAATGGCCACTTCCCAGGAGCCCCAGGGTGAGGTCCGGGTTGACAGGCTGGCGCAGCATAAAGGAGTGTGGATAGGGGCTGAAATGTACCTGGAACTTACTTGCTCAGCCAAGGGCCCGGTCCAGGGAGGGGACACCTTTTTATTGCCAAGCTGTGCGCCCATGGGACTCCAGCCCACCCAGGATCTCTAATTGGCACTGTGTGGGCAGGCCGGATCCTGCGTGCCCCTGCGGCTCTTGCCAGCTGCTTTGTGAGAGTGAGCCTTTGGTGGTAGGGACTGTGTTTTCTCCCCCTCTCTACCCATAAAACATGGAAAATGGAATCTCAGCTGGACCCTGGAGAGTGGGTGGGTTTCCCAGTGGCGGAACAGGGAGGCATGTGGGGTGGGAGAGCAGGTGGGGAAAGAACCAGGGGCAGCCAGTAGACCAGTCTGAGGCTCCCTACGGACTGATAAGACTGGAAAGCTGAGCCGTCCATCCAATCGTCCACACACTTGATCCACATTTATTGAGGACCTGCTGAGTGCCAGGCTCTATCCTGGGTACTGGAGACACAAAAAAAGACATAGCCTCTACCCCCAAATAAGCTCAAAATTTAGTATGTGTTGATGTATGAGCAGAAATCGGTAACACACATATACATAACCGACAACATAACCAGCTCCTTCATGGGTAGATGCCTAGGGGCTGTGGGAACGCCAGGAAAAAGCACACACTTGCCTAGGGACAGAGGGAAGAGGCTTCAGGGAGGAGGAGGGGCACAGAGCTGGGGCCCTGCTGGGGAGAACCTCAAGGGCTTTGAAGCCTGCAGACTGAGGACCTGCCTCATGAGGGACCCCATAGCAGTGGGTCTGGGCTGCAGGCTCCCTTCAATCCCTGGGCCAGGCAGGATAGGGCTGGCCAGCTGGGATGGGGAGGGTGTGGCGGATTCAAAAATTCAGGAAGGGTAAGATGATGAAAGGGCTGGATGCTTTGGGAAGGAACTAGAATAAGCCAACTTCCATTCACTGAGGACCTACTATGTGCTGAAGGCTGTGCCTTTGTAAGCCTCACTATTCCATTTGCACAGCTAAGGATCTGAGACTAGGGTCACACAGCCTGGCTGATGATGGGGCTGGCATTCAAAGTGGGTCTACGGGAGGCTGAGGTGGGAGGACCACTTGACCTTAGGATTTAATGCCAGCCTGGGTAACATAGCAAAACCCCATCTTTTATTTATTTTTTATTTTATTTTATTTTTTCAGACAAAATTTTGCTCTTGTTGCCCAGGCTGGAGTGCAATGTCGCTATCTCAGCTCACCACAACCACCACCTCCCGGGTTCAAGTGATTCTCCTGCCTCAGCCTCCCAAGTAGCCGGGATTACAAGCATGCGCCATCACGCCTGGCTAATTTTTTGTATTTTTAGTGGAGACAGGGTTTCTCCATGTTTTGGCCAGCCTGGTCTCAAACTCCCGACCTTCGGTGATCCACCTGCCTTTGCCTCCCAGAGTATTGAGATCACAGGCATGAGCCAGCTCGCCCAGCTCTTTTATTTATTTATTCATTTATTTTGAGATGGAGTCTCACTCTGTCGCCCAGGCTGGAGTACAGCGGCACCATCTCAGCTGACTGCAACCCCCGCCTCCCAGGTTCAGGTGATTCTCCTGCCTCAGCCTCCTGAGTAGCTGGGATTACAGGTACACACCACAACACCTGGCTAATTTTTGTATTTTTAGTAGAGACAGGGTTTCGCCATGTTGGCCAGGATGGTCTCAAACTCCTGACCTCATGATCCACCTGCCTCAGCCTCCCACGGTGCTGGGATTGCAGGCGTGAGCCACTGTGCCTAACCGACCCCATCTTTAAAAAAACAAAAACAGGCCGGGCGCGGTGGCTCAAGCCTGTAATCCCAGCACTTTGGGAGGCCGAGGCGGGTGGATCACGAGGTCAAGAGATCGAGACCATCCTGGTCAAAATGGTGAAACCCCGTCTCTACTAAAAAAATACAAAGTGCTGTAATCCCAGCACTTTGGAAGGTTGAGGTGGGAGGATCACTTGAGCCCAGGAGTTCAAGACCAACCTGGGCCACATAGGAATACTCCATCTCTACAAATAATTAAAAAATTATCCAGGTGTGGTGATACAAATGTGTAGTCCCAGCTACTGGAAAGACTGAGGTGGAGGATTACTTGAGCCCAGGAGTTCAAGACCATCTAGGGCAACATAGTGAGACCTTGTTTCTTTAAAAAAAAAAAAAGCTAGGCATGAAGGCGTGATGGCATGCACCTGTAGTTATAGCTACTCAGGTGGCTGAGGCGGAAGAACTGCTTGAGTCCAGGAGGTCAAGGCGGAAGAACTGCTTGAGTCCAGGAGGTCAAGGCTGCAATGTGCTATGATGCACTCCAGCCTGGATGACAGAGCAAGATCCCTTGCCCTCACCTTTTTTTTTTTTTTTTTTTTTTTTTTGGGGGGAGGTTTTTTTTTTTTTTCTCCCCCCGGCGTGCACGTTCCAGCTTTAAGTTATTCTCCTGCCTCAGACTCCGGAGTAGCTGGGATTACAGGCATGCGTGACCACACCTGGCTAATTTTGTATTTTTAGTAGAGACGGGGTTTCTCCATGTTGGTCAGGCTGGTCTCAAACTCCTGACCTCAGGTGATCCACCCGCCTCAGCCTCCCAAAGTGCTGGGATTATAGGCGTAAGCCACCTCGCTCAGGCAACACTGTGTTTAAAATAAATAAGTAAATTGGCCAGGCATGGTAGCTCACACCTGTAATCTCAGCACTTTGGGAGGCCAAGGTGGGCAGATCACTTGAAGTCAGGAGTTCAAGACTAGCCTGGCCAACACGGCAAAAGCCAGTCTCTATTAAATACAAAAATTAGCCGGGCATGTTGCGGTATGTGCTTGTAGTCCCAGCTACTCAGGAGGCTGAGACAGGAGAATTGCTTGAACCCAGGAGGCGGAGGTTGCAGTGAGTTGAAATCAAGCCACTGTACTCCAGCCTCAGCAACAGAACAAGACTCTGTCTCTTAAAAACGAATAAATAATAAATGAAATCACTTTTAAAAGCTGCAGAGTCCTGCCAAGGATTTTTCCCTCAGGTGAGGCTTTCAATCCCAGAGCATGTAATGGGGACTGGGGAGAGAGGTCGGCACTGAGGTGGCCAGACACCAGTGACCCTCAGCCTGTCTGGTACAGGGCCCTGCTTTGTGACACCAAGGTCTGCAGAGCCCAGGGCATCCTAGCCAAGGCAGTCGTGAGATGTCACCAGGCACAGTGGTAGGGCCTGAGAGCAGAGACTGGAGGGAGAAAAGAAAGGAGACCCGAGTGCAGACCCAATGCCTGCTGATGGATAGGAGAGGAGAGAACAGAACGGGCAGAACAGAATAGCTTCAACTACGGGACTGAGCAAGACATGGGGGAGAGGTGCAGATGGCAATAGGGCCACAGCTGGTGAAGGGGAAGCCAGGAAGAGCTCCCTCCTTTCTACTGCCCCACCCCAGCACCTGGGTGCCCTTAGAATTGGCTGGTGGCTGCCAGATGGTGCCCCAGGACCTGGACACTCTGCTCATCCTGCTGTCCCACCCCGAAGCACAGCCCCAGGCAAAGGAAGTTCAAGTCAGTGAGCTGTGCGGGCTCCAAGCTGGCAGACCCCCGCCACACGGGCGCAGCCTCACACCCTGGACACGGTCTTCTTCCCCTTGTTTTGTCTCTTGCTGGCTGCCTCCAGCAGGGGCGCAAAGAGGGCTCCCATCCGACACGCTGGCATTCCCAGAGGCTCTCACAGGTGAATGCCCCCAACCCGGGTAGAGGTCACACACATCCCTCCTCTTCCCATCCTCCCCAGGGTGAAAACCCACAGCAACATCAAACAGCTGAACAGAGATTTTGGCTTGGAGAGGGAAGTTCAGAGCTGCCCCGCCCCTCCCTTCTGGGTGAGAGGTCACTCCAGCAGCGCTGTGGGTAGGAGGGAAGGAGCTCTTTGCACTCCCGGCTGGGGTCTAAGCTTGGCTGCCACGTGGGTTTGCCGGTCGGGGCCTGCAAGTCTGCCGACATCCACTAGAAGGCGCAGCACTGGGACTGTGACCTGCCGGAGCCGCGAGGGGAGCTTGGGAAGGGTTTGCGGTGAGTGGAAGGGCTGAGTGGGTGTTGGCCCTCGAGGGGAGGCGAGCAGCTGCGCTGTAGGATCCTCTGTTCT